CCACCAGCACTCTGTAAAACCTTCCTTGAAGAACAGCTGTGCCAGCTGCAAGAAGCTTCTGGCAGTCATACTGACAGAACTGTCCTTTAAGTTGCTGTGGCCAACACCAGACTCTGAGTGTATGTACACCCTTAACAGACCATACAGGAGCCTGAGCCTAAGGAAATCTAAGTCTGACTGAACCTATCCTCAGCTTGCTTATACTTGCAGTAGAAATAAAGCAGGAGCAATTATACCTTCCATGGAAGTGGGAGATGGCAGTAGCGACCTGCAGTAGCCACAGACTCCCTTCTCCTGCAGGGAAGGCCATGCTGAACAAACAGCAAGCCAGCCTCAAGGAGACAGAGAAGGCACCAATTTCCACCTCTGCCACTTCTGGAGAACTTCAATTCCCTGCCTCATATGTTGATAAATGCTTCCCAGACAGCAAAATTTACTAAGGAACACATGTAGAGTATATGCTTTTATCTAGCAGAAATGCATTCTAGTCAAAACAGAAGACAAAGAGTCTTCTCAGCATAAGGGAGGAAATCGGAGAAAAAAGCTTGAACAATAATTTGCCTGATTTATAAATGTGACAGCATTAAGAAATGAGGAGGAACCCAATCTTTCCAGAATGCCCTAAAGAAAAGTAAAATGTGAAGTACTCTTCTCTTCAGAAACGAGCTCAGTGCCAAAGCTTTGGTGGCAAGATGTTAATTTGCTCTCAATAGGCAGCCCTGATTTCTTCAGCATTTCCCTTTTTCCCCTTCTCATCACCTAAAGGCCTGGAATATGAAAAGGCAGACAAGCCCGGGGGGATTTACTGAGTCCTGTTACAGCACATCAGTCATCAAAAGAACAGTGAACTATTTTCATTTTTATTCCAACTCCACGTCATGATAAAGATATTTTGCTTTCCAAGTACGTATAAGGCATTTTAATGTTCAGTTTGTAAAATAAAAGGTAGAATTTTAGGAACACTTAAAGCCTTCAAAACAGGAGCTGATTAATACAAAAAGCCGAAGTGTTACTTCAGCTAAAACCTGAACCAGCTCTAATTCAGTTTTTCTGAAAGCTTACTGTGCTTATAAGCACCTCTGTAAAACCAGAAAGCACTACAGACATTCAAGTGTCCCATTTGGGTGGAGTAAGAAGTGGATGTGTGGTAGCCTTAAGTGCACAGGCACTTCAGCTGAAGGCCTAGAAAAAGGAAGTGTCCTTCTAGCAGAATGTGTGGAAACGTTTCTAATTTGTGTAGAAGGGAAGATTTGTAGATTATTTTATCACTTATCTTTGGTCATGTGGTCAGTGCTTGAAAGTAAGTCAAAATTACAAAATGTAGAAGAAAACACAACATGGTATGTAGAGAAATTCCTGCTTTGGGCAGTCAGATGAACGTAGTTGCAGAACTCGGCTTATACCAGCCTTGGGATTCTCAGCAAAAGGATGGATTTACACTTCCAGCTTCAAGGTCTGGGTATGTTGAACCAGTAGCATTTATTTGGTTAATACTAGTAATACATGTAGTATACATAAGTGATTATAGAGTATTACAGGTGGTGGTGCAGGTGAGGCAAAGCGCCACCAGAGCTGCTGGGGTGCCTTTACCCTTCCTTTAACTTAGCAGAAACAACTGTCCTCATACATGAACTAAGAATGACCTCCAAACAAAAGGTCAGCTGCATGCATCCACTGAAACCATGCACACACAGTGCCACTCAGGAATCTGAACCATGTGGACAAGAACACTTCACTGTTCATTGTTGAAGAACATTGTTTATACACTTGTGTGCATTTGGCAGCAGAAAATGCCAAAAGAAGGGGAAAAAAGGCATGTGGCCATGAAGAAACAGGGAAATCCTGGAAATAGGTAGCAACTAGATGAAAAGTGTCTGAATTGCTCATTCTGCTCTATGGACAGCACTAGAAATACCAGTTTGCATTATGAATTTCTTCTCTGGTAAAAGATTGGAGTAAAAAATGAGAACAGCTGTATAGAGACAGGGCCATGCTATGGCCACATGTCATTGTGGTTGTTCAGTCATGAACAACATCAGTGGTTCCTTATGTTGCATTAAGGACTTGTAGTCTACACATATTCTTAGCACATGCAGGTATTACAAATACGAAACACAACCCCAATGGCCTATCACAAAGCCATTTCATAATTCCCTCCTCTGTCACTGTAATTCTGCATCTGGGAGTTGTACAGCATTGAGGCAATGTGTGACGGGCACAGGCTACCTCAAATAGAGGCTCCTCCATTGGCCAACTCTTGCCTGAATAGTAAATGTTCAATACATAACTGCCTTGAAGGTCACCAAAAATGAGCTGGAAGAACAACTTGTTCTCCAAAGGCCAGAATGGCTACCAGCAGCCTAAAGCCACTGAAGGTTCAACCACACAATTAAGATCGGGTTGGTTTATGTGACCCTGTGTGTCTCCAAATAAAACACTAAGCTAGATTTGAAAGAGTAACCACTACAGTCTCTAAAAGCCACTTCTTGAAAGGTTAACCAGAGGAAGATTTGATAAAAGCAGTATTTGATACCCTGCTGTGAAGTAACTCTTAGCCTGTCCCCAGAACATTAACACATGTATTTCCTCCCAAATCACTCTTATTTAAGGTTGATCAAGTGTGTAGGAGGACTATGTTCAACAGTCAGGATTTCTCTTAGTTATTTTATGTCCCTCTGGATTCCTAAAAGGGCCTTCTTTCCCTGCTTCAGTGCTAGGGTAAGTCTTTACCTGGAGGCGAACACCCAATGGAATTCCTGTTCAAACTCCCCTAATTAAGATCACTGAGATGAACGAGCAATTAAAGCAACAAAACAAGCTCACATTGCTCAACTCCCCTCTCTTGCTTGGATTCTCAATGAATTCAGAAACAAAACTTCAGTTTGAAAAACTATCAGAGGATCTGCTAAAACATGCCCATTCCCTTCAGGACAATTATGCATTTTCCATGTGAATTCTCCTAACATTTTTGGCAAATAAATACCTTATATTAAAAATACTCTCCTCGACAGATCATGCATGAGATGTATTTTGCAGACTGCCTGTCCTATACCTCTCTTCTCAGTATTACAAAAGGGCAAAGGTAGGAAAGGAGTTTTCTTGTGGTTTTTTGTCAAGTTTTTATTTTGGGCAGAGGAGTAAGAATGAATCAATCTACTGTGTCACGGGGCTGTGGTTGCAGGCCAAAAGGCTTCCTTTTCACTTTTCTTTTTACGTGCTTCCAAACAAAAGAATAGAAGACAACAATCTTTAAAAGGGAATTGACTGTTTTTGGAAAAGACCTCTAAACAGAGTAAAGCATTTGTATCCTGTTCTAAATGAATTTTGCTGGACTGTATGAAGACTTGCAGAGTTTGGGTGGCAATGTAACCCACAGGCCAACTGCAGCCCAACAGAATTGCTCACAGTTTCTGCTCTCTGATGCCATCTTATCCAAGTATCCTTCAGATGAAGGCAAGAAAAGCTGTGTGTGAGCTCTGGCAGCCTGGAGCTGGCTCCCTGGCACCCTGCTTCTTTAGGGATCTCCTCTTCCCTCAAGTGACTGAAATATCAATACACTCAGTCATGAGAGGCAGAAGGAGCCATCCCATCCTTCAGTGGATCCATCACTGCTCACGTAGCCTGTTCCAGCAGGGAGATGAGGTGTCTGTGGATTTGATCAATAAAAGCTTAAGCCAGTGTGCATTTTGCTCAACTAGGACATATAGTAAGAAACATTGTCACTGGACAGTCACTGCAGACAAAGGCATTCCTCCTTAACAAATTTAAATTTATTCCAACATTTGAGAAAGAGATTAAATAGGCTTTATTTTATAATTCAGTGGCATAAATGGCAGATTTCACTCACTAGGCACTACACAGACTGCAAATGACTGTGTCGAATTCAGACTTGGATATATACCAGAAATATCTGCTAACAAATATATTATATATATTATAATATCTGCTCCACAAAGGTATTATAAACACCATAGCATGATTCTTTGGTTGTGCATTCAAACACCCACTATGTTTATCTTAAATATACTTACAGAAACCTCAGACCTACACTTGGCCTACTACATTGAAATAGTTAATTTTTAATTTTTATTAAGAACCAGAAAAAAATTGCTAACGTATTGGAAATGAGAGCTCCAACTGAATCATAGAATGTGCTGAGTTGGACAGGACCCATCAGGATCATGGAGACCAACTCCTGTCCCTGCGTAGGGCACCCCAAGAATCCCACCATGTGCCTGAGAGCATCATCCGAACGCTTCTTGAATTCAAGCAGGCTTGGTGCTGTGACCCTGGGGAGCTTGTTCCAGTGCTCAACCACCCTCTGGGTGAAAAACCTTTTCCTGATATCTAACCTAAATCTCCCCTGATTCAGCTTCCTGCCATTTCCTCGAGTCCCATCACTGGTCACAGGATCAGTTCCTGCCCCAACTCTTCCCCTCCTAAGGAAGCCATAGACTGCAAGAAGTTTCCAAGATTGTTTCTTAGGTGAAGATAACTCTAAAAAGGTTTGTCATTACCCATTCTTTGCTACAGTGAGAATACAGGAATAGCTGTAAGCATTTAATGATCTCTCTTCTTTTTTGATTTCATGATTGAGGGTGATTTTTGCTCCTGCACACTTACCCTTGAAGCAAAGAATCATCTCTAGTTCTTTGCGCAGATGGAGATGAAAGCACAATGTATTCTAACAGAGATTAACAACAGTATCTGCAGTAAACATTCTGCACTGCAACCTGGAAATCAGGAACCCCTGACATTTTTCTGTATGAAACACCATATTGGAAGGAGCACCACAAGAGCAAGCTTTGGACTACCTCCATGGAAATAAACTGGCTTAGATCAACTTCCCTCTGGGATGGAAAGGTGAACTCTGGCATTCTTGATAGAAGAATATGCAAACATTCCATTAATTTTAGCTACAGAAGTTCAGTTAACCTTTCACATTTAAATCTAAAGGCAGAGAGTTAGAAAGATAAGTGAATAAAAATGGAGTAAGAATCAGGTACAATGTGCTTATTGCCTTTTATTGATCTCATTATTTACATAACCAAGCAGACAAAGTTCTCATTTATTTCCTGAGGAAACATGTTGATTGTATAATTTGCTAGAGAGCACAAAGTGCATTTTTAACATGACATTTACTCCTTTTGCTTTGTTTGCTTGGCTTCTACAAGCCCTAAAAGCACCGCATCAGCTTCCAGCAACGTTGTGTCAGTTGTTGCACCCAAAAACCTAGATGTGAGCTCAAGATCCACCAGTCTCAGGCGTACTTGGGTTCCTCTCTGATATTTTCTGTGAAAAAAAGGGGAGAGGGTTGGAAAAAGGTAAGTTTTGCTAAACCAGTAGAAGCCCCACAAAAACAACATGCTGCGATGAACGCCCAACACTGTTGTAATGCATCAGCACTAAAACTGCTGGGACATACTCTGTGACACCACAGAGCCAACCTCTGTTGATACAATCCTGCCCATGGAACAGCAGACACCACCAGATCCCATTGAGAGAATGTGGGCTCTACAGAAAAGCAGTTTATTATATAGGAAACTGTTTGTGTCTTCCATCAAAATATTTTACTGTATCATCTGCTATCATGCACACAATTATCTGCAGGACAACGTATCATTAAAGGGGAGGACAAGTCATCATTAGATCACTGGTGACATTGCTATTATCAAAAAAGTATAATGCCAGCTAACCATGGTTTATATTTCCAAATTCAGGCCTCAGGCAAGGGAACTTTTTGTGTCTTATGCCCTCCTCCAAAGAGTGGGTATCATCTGCAAGTTTCTTCTTACATATAATTAAAATAAACCCCTTGATTATTGTACTAAAATCATTCTGCCTACGGGGCTGGGTTTTATTGTTTTATGCCCTTTTTCCCTCTTTTTCCTTTTAAGTCAGAAGATGCCAGTGTTCAATATGTTTTAAAAACAGACTCTGTGTCGAGATGGCCATGCCAAATAAGCAAGGATTTTTGAAATACCAGCATAATTTATAAAGCACCTGGAGAGCTACTGATCAAAGTCCAGCAATAAACTGAGGATTATTCTTCTTTTAAATTTTTTTCTAGTCTAGTTCTTGTTTTTTCTAGTCAAAGCATAAAGAGCTGAAGATGCCTCAAGCTTGACCAGTTTGAGCAAAAGCAAAAGAAAGCTTGAAATATTGTCCAGTTACAGAATGGAGAAAATACAACAGGGAAGTCTGATTGAATGCATTTCCACCTCACTCATTTTCACTCATTTCCAGCAGCCAACAGTTTAAATGAAGTTGCCAACTGACTGGTGATTTTAGCCATTTGGGTATATGGGAGAAATCTGCAAAAAATTCTTTAGCATGAGCCCTTACTGACAGCTGCAGCCTACAGAGGTTGCCTTAGCATCCAACCATCAAGTTATCCAGATACCTAATGCTCTCTTTGGCATAAATTACCAGACTCTTCTGCCTTTATCAATGAGTGCCAGGAGTGGATGGGGCATGAGAGAAGATAAATTCTTAAAAAAATAAGAGAGCTAAATTAATTTTTTTAAGAAGGCAAAGAAAAGGCAGAGAAGAATACCTGAGAGGGAGAAGTGGACTATGGAACGAGAAAAGAGGGAGCTGATACCTTACAAGAAGAAAATAAGAGGCTTGAGAATAATCAAAACAGATGATAAATGGTAAAGCAGGTGACAAGAAAGCACTGAAAACACTGTAGGCAAATAGTGCAGAACTGAAGGAAACAATATATGAAGTGCACTCACAGAAGAGAAAGAAGCTACTGAAAAGTGAAGACTGCATAAACCAAAGTTTGATGACACTGAACTAAAAGCTGTGAACTACAACATTCTGTACTGCTTTTAAAAAGATGAAGGATGTGCTTTTAATCTAGTAAAACTTCCCACTAAAAAGAATAGTTCCGTAACAAATTTTAAAGACCAGAAATCCCTCTGCCTTTTACTTCTCTCCTTTCTCCTAAAAGGATATGCAGCTAACCAGTAATGGAAAGCAGAAGGCTAATGTGAAAACTAGCTTCAGAATTCAACACTTTTGTACCAAAGATCAAACTGAAGGAGGTTTATATTGAATGAGAACTCCTCTCCCTATTCGACAGCATGGAGAAGCAGAGATATTGAGTTCCATCTTTGTAACTGAAATACAAAATATTATTTGCATCATGCTAAGTTGGCTTGGGGCTGGTTGCTAGATTACAGTGGGAAGAGTTCTGCAAGTGAATATGTGAAACTAGCTTTTTCCTAATCAAACCTTTAGAAGTGATATTTAGAACCAGGAAAGTCCATGTGGAAAAATCTGTGAAGAAACTGTACTTCTCATGATTAATACACCTAATTTAGTAATAAACCAATAATCTTAAGCATGACTCCCCCCATTTTAGCATTACAAAGACTTTGTTCATTGTATAGTTTGCAGAGAACTTAGCTCAAATTTCCAGACATGACTTCAATATATATTTGTAATGCAAAATCTAAGTAACTATATTTTCATAAAAAGCACCGCAATCTTGAATGTTGCTCAGGTAACTCAAACAGATTCCACATACTTTTAATTGTTATTAACTCAAATATTAAAGAAGGTTTTCCAGGCACAGCACACATCTACTTACAAAGAGATCCTGAAGAAAATCACCTTAAGGAGCTGACACAACTGCCAATTTGTGTTAATACGAACCTTTGGGTTTGTGACAGATGTTCCCTACAGCTAAAACACTTTAGAATAAATGAGAAGTGGAAGATGTAGAAAAAGTAGAACCATGAACACAATGCACAGTGGTGGCCTATCCACCACATTTGGAGCAAGAGGAAATGATAGGTTGTTCTATGCGTAGTAAGCATATTCTTTCCACAAAGGTATTTATCCTTAAAACAGATTAAACCATCCTATGGTTAAAGAAGAAGCTTGAAACAGGACCTAGAAACAAAGCAGGCATTCTATTATTTTCAGGAACGGTGTCCTAGGAGACACAGAACACCAGTGTAAAGGGAAAGAAACCATCTACTCCATTTTGCAAAAGGACCTGCTTTATTTTTATGCAACTTTCTTAATGTCAAAATATTGTTTTAGCTATATCATGACCATCAGCAGGAACCATTAACCTTCACCCAACCCCCAAGCACTGTGTGTGTTGAGGATGCACGTTTTCCTTCTACCACTTCCTATTGCCAGGTAAGAGCACTACATTCATTTTTAAGTAGACACAGGTAGTTTAGTTGCATACACAAGTGCATGTATAGAAATATTCTACAGAACTTTGAAACATTATTTTGCAAATAGAGTCAAAGCTCTCTCTACTCTATAGAATTTATTTACAAGAGCTATCAATTCTATCTGTTTGGGAACACCAGTTTTGCATGGAAGGTCTCTACGTAACACTTGGCTTCAGAGATGGGAATCCAACAGCCGCTGAAGTTGAGCCATGACCACATCTCAGGACAATGTCAACAGAGCTCCCACTGAAGCACCCACCAGGAAACTTCAGCCAAGCATCCATGGGCTCCACAAAGCTTTCTGTAGTTTGAAAGAGTGCGCCCAGGCTTCTCCCCATCTCTTCTGGAGTGGGCAAAGTGCCAGGTACAGGTGCACTATTCCTCTAATGTACACTTCCAGAAGATGACTTTAAGTTAGGTTGGATGCAACACAAATAATTGTTTCAGCATTCTTTGCCATTTTTGGACTGTCTCAGAAAATAATTTGAAAAGAACTAACATGAAACACCTTTTTCTTATTTGAAGCCCAAGTTATACAACCATAGATATCATAGAGTTTATGAGAGCAGAGAGGAAGCATATGGTACAGCCTTGCTAATGCTGCTTAAAGAAACTTAAAAAGCAAAACTAAAAATAAAGTTTATGCCCTCCTATTACAATCAAAGTAGGGCCTTTTATCTTTGCATGCCAATAGCAAACCAGTGTGTCTTAGCTGACATAAAGTAGTTCTTCTCTTTGCTAAATACACACAAATACCAGTGTTCACTTCCAAACTTAAGAAACTTGGAAGCTTCCTGCTTACTTGACTATGTAATTTTTATTGCAAGTTGGTCCCTATCCTAATCTCTTCACTTTTGCACTGAAGCTTTAAATCTCCCAAATCTTGAAGATAAACTAAAGGAAACAGGCTCAAACCCCAAAAATTCTTCAGTCAAGATTTTAAATCTGTAATTGAAAAAAAAAAAGTAAGTAATTTTACTATGTCCCCTTAAAACATATATATAAACAAAAACCTCCAATATTTTTACATAACAAGATTGGATGGGGAGGGTACAGAATGATGTTTTTCAGCTCTTTCTAACTTTAAAGAAAGCTAGGGGGGGAATTACTCTTTTTTAATTTCAAAGTCATTTCAGGTTACAGCAAAAGGTTTAGAAAGGGAGTTAGCTTGGAGATCAATGAGCATGTAAAAACAAGGACACTATAACTAAAAACAGTTTTTTGATCCTAATTATACTGTTTGCTACTGAGAAATTGGGACAGTATTTTTGCAGGTGGGCAGTTTCACATGCAGAGGAAGCATTCTCATTATTCCATGGCATCATGAATTTTATTCAAACTCTTAAATACAGACACAAGCATTAAAGCATTTTGTAAACTATCCAATATTTAAAGCTGCATGTAATCACAAATTAGCAAGCAGACCTTTTACTACTAAAACTGCTCACACTATTATTTTCAAATTTAAAGGAACAAACCTTCAGCTCTTGGCAACAATGCTACAAAAATATCAATGCACTTACAGAAATGACTAAGTCTCACCAGTATTTCCCACTCATTCATTCACAGGCACCTTCTATCCCATATTATAAAAATTCAGAACTGCTCTTTTGAGACAAATGGAGTGTTTTAGCTTATATTCCCTCTAGTTTGTTACTGGTTTTTAGTCTCCATTGCTAATGCAAAGCTGAATGAATTAGCAAGGGCTATGACCACTCTCATCCATTGTTCATTCCTCTGAGCCATTTGTCACACCTCTCATAAATGTGCATTTCTGACTGGAGCAGGAAAGCAACTATTAAAACTGCCTTTTAATTTCTGTACTGAGGGTGACATTTAGAGAATTTAATTTGAATTTTTTACACTTTCTGCATAATTTTTCAGCATCTCCCAACACATTCTAGTGATGACTTTCAAAAGCTGCAATAAAGGAATCCCTGCATTATCTCCCATACAAAATATATGAATATAAAACTCTTCAAAGATGGCGTTAGAGTTGAGCCATAGTACTCTCAGATAATAGTCTTGAGAAGTCATGAGAAGTCTAGAGTTCTTTCATTTTTGTACTTCGACAATTTCAAAGTGTGTGTT